AAATAGATTAACTAGGGAAAATGAACAATCTAAATGTCCATCAACAGGTGGACATACTATGGTATATCCATACAGTGGAATACTATTCAGCAATAAAAATGAACAGGCTAAGGATACACACAAGCTAGATGAACCTCAGAATCACTACGCTGAGTGGAAAAAAGCCAGGTACCAAAGAATAAATATGTACACTTCCATTTATATAAAATCCTAGAAAATGCAAACTACGGTTTAGAACAAAAACCACATCAGTAGTTACCTGAGGCTGGGGCAGAAGTAGGCTAGGCCGAAAGGGACATGGCGGAACTTTTGGGAGATGGACTGTTCCATGTGTTGCTTGTGGTGGTGGTTTCATGGGGACATATCTGTCAAAACTCAGGTTATGCACTTGGAGTGGAAATAGCTTACTGTATAAAAATTAGACCTCAATAAGGCTGATTTTTAAAAAACTTCCCTGCTGATTTGCTTTGAGCATTAAATAAGAGACAACATGACAGGCACAATGTTGGTGGCAAATGATGATGACAGTGACATCGGTGGATGCCGTGGCATGAGAACAGAGTGTCCCCCCATGAGCCACGTAGAACAGTCTTTCTGCCTCTCTGTGAGTTCTACTATCTTGTATGATAACCTCTAAGCCTCCAGTTCTTAACATGTCAAAGGACCAGCATGGTGAGTGGCCCATGCCATTCCTCAAGACTGCAAGACTCTGATCCAGAGGTGATGGTGCTTTAGTGGCAGGCAGCACAATTGAGAAGGTACGATCACACATATTGAGAAGGTGCACAAGCATCACCTTGAGAGGGTGTTGCTATAACACTGAACAGCAACTCCTTGACATGCAGCATCTCCACATGAAAATGTGGAGCAAGAAGGATTCCAGAATCCTCTGGAGGGAATTGGGAAGAGATTTGAGAGACAGTGAGGAAAGTCCACAGAAGAATGTGAGGCAAGCAAGCCTTCTGTGGATCAGGACTTGAACTGTTTTCTTGGGTTACCACTTGGAAGTTTCTGCCAAGGAACTCCAAAATCTTTTTTCCTGAATTTTATGTTTTCTTACTTCAAACACAAGCCCCTTGGTGCACATGCCCCCTGACCACCTCCCAGCCATGAGCGCCTGCAGACACTGCCTGCCTCCTGCAGTCCTCAGGTGTGTCCTCCCAGGTGGCCACCTTGCTGTCCCAAGTGACCAATGGCAGACACAGCAGACAGCCTGTGACGACAGGCAGACCGGTGTGGCCAGCAGCCACCAACCTCTGAGCTGCCAGTTTAGTGCTGGCAGAAGACAGCCCAGGTACATGTCTGGGAAAACAGACCTTGGGAAGAGAATGCGAAATCCCTTATTCAATATGGTCATTGGGAATTGGGTTGGGTGAGGCATCTGCTATAAGGAGTTGAGTGGGTATAGCTACGGAGGAAGGTTTGTCAGAAAGAGAGGCAGGGAGGCAGAAGAGAGTGCTGGGGACGGATGGGCATGTGTGCTGACAGAACCTTAGCTTATGGCAGGTCTTCTGACCTCTCACAACTGCTCTTCCACCTCACACCCCTTTGGAGTGAGATGGGGCAGAAGTACTGTTCCACGTGATTCTGGCCCTCTCTGGTCCTCAGTTCCAATCAGCCTATCGGATATTCATCCGTAAAGCTCCTTAGATTCATGCAGCCCTCTGGGCCCCAGTTCCAGCTTTGGATGCTAGCATGGCCTAGGAATCTGTATTTTAACCACCATCCCAGAATATCTCACAGACGTCCTTTTTGTTCCTCTCCCTAGTCTTATGATTACCAGGGAATGATCTACATTTTACAGACTGAATTATCTCCCCGTGTATACAGCCATAAACAAAGTGCTAAAAGAAGGCTTTGGGACCCTACTTCCAGCTGTGGGAGCCTAACTGCCCTCAGTCATAAATAATTAGAAAGCCGGGGGAAAATATTTGCTAGCACTGTTGCAGACACTGGATAAAAGGTGCCCAAGACCTCAATTTCTGAGAGCAAGGAAACAGATGAAGTAAGCCTGGGTCACCCTGGCTTCCCACCTAGAAGTCCCCCTTAGACTCTGGCACAGTGAGGGGGAGTCCAAGACAGAGTACGGGGTCTTGCTGAGTTGAAGAGAGATTGAAGCTTAGGGGCTCAGGTGGCTGGCGTCTGGGAGCCAGTGCACTGTTCATAAGTGCTGACAGAACGCTGAGCTGTGCCTCTGCAGGGTGCAGCTCCACAGCCTGACGGAGAAGTACAGCAGGAAGGTGCAGCTCAATAACCCCGGAACCTACATGGAACTGGAGGAGGCTCAGTGTCACCTGGCTGGGGAGCAAGAGCCTACTAACAACCAGGCACTGGCATCTAGGGCTAACTCCGGACCTGTCCCAAGAAGCCTTCAAAACACTTCTCAAAATGGTCACCTAATCAACAGATGCATTCACTTCCGACCATAACAAAACAGATGGTTTCAACTTACAACGGTCTGACTTTCGAGCTTTCAACTTTACATGTTCAGCACACACCCCAGCTTATGATGGGGTCATGTCAGATGAATCCTTATTAGTTGAAATATTTTAAGTTAAAAATGTGAGATGATATTTTCAATTTATGTTATCATATTTTCAACTGATGACAGGCTTATCTGGACATAACCCCATTACAAGTCAAGGCACATCTGTTCATCATTCTTTAAAGGACAAGACCCAGACATTCAACATCATAACAATCACAATGTCCAGCATTCAATCAAAAACTACTAAACACATTAAGAGGCAGAAAAGAATGACTCGTAGCCAGAAGAAAAATCAGTCAATAGAAACAGATGCAGAAAATGTAGAGGTGATAAAATTAGCAGCAAAGGAACTTGAGAACAGCTACCATGGACTGAGCATCTCTGACCCAAAAATTTAAAATCCAAGTGCTCCACAGTGAAAAGTGAAACTTTTCAAGCATTGACATCATACTCAAAGGAAATGTTCGTGGGAGTATTTCAGATTTTCAGATTTGGATGCTCAACCAGGTAAGTATAATGCAAATATTCCAAAATCCAAAAATCTCTGAAATCCAAAACATTTCTGGCCCTAAGCACTTCAGATAAGGGACACTCAACCTATATAAAGGCCACTATCAAGGATGAAGGGAAACATGAGCAAAATGAGAAGATAAATGGAAGATATTTATAAAGAAGCAAATGAAGCATCCAGAGCTGAAGAAATACAATATCTGAAATAACAAATCAGCTAGATAAGCTTAAAAGCAGACCAGACATTGTAGAAGAGAAGACCACATTACGAAGCAATAGAAACTATCCAAAGTGAAATGCAGAGAAGAAAGCAGTCTAAAAACAAAAAGCACCACACCTCCACAACCTGTGTGGACAATCGTGTGGACATACACACCTGTAGGGGAGTCCTAGAAGGAGTGGGAGGGAAGAAAAAGACATTTAAAGGCATAATGGCTAAAATTTTCTGAATTTAATAACAACTATAATGCACAGGCTTAAGAAGTTCAAGTAGTTTAAACACAAAGAAAAGCACACCAAGGCACATCATAACCAAATTGCTGAAAATCACATATAAAGAAAGCTTAAAAGCAGCTAGAGGGGGAATGACACAGGACATAAAGGGGAACAAAGAAGAGAGTAACTACTGACTTCTCATCAGAAACACTGTGGCCAGAAGACAGTGGAGTATTTAAAGGGCTAAGAAGAAAATAAGTCGGCCTAGAAGTTTACATCTGGCGAAAAGTGAAGGCATTGTCAGTCAAATGCAGCAGAGAGAATTTGTTGCCCAAGAACCCACTCTACAAAAAAAAAAAGAATAAAGTACTCCAGGTCAAAGGATACCAGACAGGTACCAGGATCCACACAGAGGACTAGGGGTTGTGGAAGTGGTAAACGTGAGTTTTTCAAAGGGTTTTAGTAATTTGGGTTCCAAGCTTGGTCTTTCCAGGTAAGTTTCATTTTACAGTGACACACAGATGTCATCTTCTTCATCTCATGTCTCCGCATTTACCTAATCAGGAATCAGGTGGCAGAATGACATCTGCTATCAAAGAGCACAGAGCCTGGTGGAGAAGGCATCAGGCCCACGAAGCATGAAAGTGGTTTGTGTCCTAACTGCACTCAAACCCTGGCTCTCTCACTCAGCAGCTCTGTGACCTTAGGCAACTTACTTAACCTCCCTGTATCTCAGTTTCCACAACTGTAAAATAGGACTGATAACAGCACTCTAATGTGGTGAGAGTTAACGCTTCAAAATACGTGCGACCTGGTAGAACAGCACCTGGTGTGTAATAACCACCTAATAGAGATCAGCTCTGGGTTGTTATTACAATGCTGATTTGCCAAGGTTTCAGGAACATAGAGGCAGGACATGGGAGGCAGAGGGGGAGTGAAATGAGAAGGGAAAACATGTCGGAGGAAATGTTTCAACTGACCTTCTGAAAAATGAGCAGGATCAATGGATAAAGAAGGAGGGAGATGCTCCAGGTAGAGGCAGCAGCACTTACTGAGGAGAAGGGATATGAACTGGCAAGGCACAGGAGTGTGAGCTGGCAAGGCATGGAAGTGTGAACTGGCAAGGCATGGGGTGTGCACTGGCAAGGTATGGAAGTGTGAACTGGCAAGGTCTGGGGGTATGGAATGGCAAGGCATGGGAGTGTGAACTGACAAGGCATAGGGGCGTGAGCAGGCAAGGCATGGCAGTGTGAAGTGGCAAGGCACAGGGGTGTGAACTGGCAAGGTGTGGGGTGTGAAGTGGCAAGGCATGGGGGTGTGAACTGGCAAGGTGTGAACTGGCAGGGTGTGGGGGTGTGAATTGGCAGGGCATGGGAGTGTGAACTGGCAGGCGTGGGGATGTGAACTGGCAAGGCACAGGGGTGTGAACTAGCAAGGTGCTGGGGTGTGAACCAGCATGCATGGGGAGATCACCACAAACATGTCCAGCAAGCCTGTGCCAAACAGTGCCTTCGCTGCAGCCCAAGCAGTGCTCTGAATCTCTCCAATAGTCCTTTTGGCCTCTTACCATCTTCAGCATTATATCCATCCAGGCTCTGCTGTCTGAGGCGTTCACTGACCCCAAAATAGAAGAAAAGGAGAGCAGAAAATGAGTTTCAAATATAGAAAGGAACAACCCAAGCTTTATTGCATCCATTCTTTCACCTAAATGGAAACGTCCCTGGACCTAATTGGTCAGACCTAATTAGACATTGGGGTCTGCCATGTATGATCGCACAGGCCTTGCACTGCACCATTCCCATGGGTGGCATCACATAGACTATGGCATGAATGTTCCTCCACCCCTGGAGGTGGGAAATTGGGTGGCCCTGCCTTCATAGCCACCTTGAGCTAGAAATCGTCTTTTTTTTGGTACAAGTCTTAGGGGAAGGCTGGGCTTAGAAGCTGGCGTTGCTTCTGTCCATCTGTATCAATAAAGCAGAAGGCAGGGGGCCAGTGCCCTGATTCCAGGATATATTATTTTAAAAACTTCACGGACATGACACGGACATGCTGAGGAAGTAGCATGAACCAAACCCCTGACTTGGCAGCTGACCAGACAGATGCATACAGTCCTATTTTCTATGCCGTGGTCAATGTAGGCAGAATAGATCATGACCACCAAGAGTATGCCGTTGACGCAGGTCTACATAGGGTACCATAAGAACACTGGACACGTACTCTTCTCTGTCTTCAGACACATTCTTTCTCAGCCTGAAAAGAAAGAGAAGACAAGGTTTTGAGCCCACCAGTCTCATGCCTGGGTAGCGTCTTGGGGAAGGGTTTCACAGTGGGGCACATCAGTCCACCGCAGGGGCTTTGCTTAATGGAAGTTCTCTTCACAGGCCAAGTCCACGACCAGCATGAGAGAAACAGATACCACAGGACTTTCTTAAAGCTTTGTATCAGCCTAACTCTGGTTCAACTGCTGGTTCAAGTGCAGGCGGAGGGAGCACTTGAAACCCACATGGGCACAGATGACCCGGCGCCCTCCTTCCTTCCAGCAGTGAACTGACTGCTTCCAGAACACTTTCTCATGACTGAGGCCAGCAGGTGCAACATCACAGGAGCAAGAGGTATGCCCTGACCACAAGGTGAGACTGCAGGCTCAGGAACGGTTTCACCATGTCCTTTGCGTGCTGGACCAGAAGGCCCCAGGGGAGGGTGGGAGAGCAGGGCACAGGCACTCCACGCATCGCAGACCCGAACCCCAGGCCAACTCTCACACACGCACGGGGGCTGTCCGGGAGCCTGCTGGGCACGAGACTGTGGGTCTGGCTGGGAGACGTTTCTGAACCAGTTGGCCTGTGAGGAGGGGCTCAGGAATATCACCTTAAGTTCTAATCTACGCAGTCATGACTGACACTCTGAGAGACACTGATCTAAAGTCTTCTTAGACTGGTGAAATGCAATGGTAACCGGTGATGGCTGTTGGGGCCACGGTGATTGCATGTATGTCTGGAAATTTCCGTAAGAACTGAGTTGGTTTTTGTCTTAAATTAACTCTTTGAAGTCAGGAATCTAGCACCGTGAGGAGTGGGCAACAGGTGGTGGCGACATCGCAGGGTCTGGAGGCAGGATGCACAGAGGGCAGCAACAATGTGCGCACCAGCCTCAGCCGGTAAGGGCAAGTAACACCCCAAGATACAGTCATACCTGGATGTTTTGACAATTAAAAAATAAAAATTTTTGTAATGATTTTTAAAAGTTAAGTCTAGGCCAGGCGCAATGGCTCAAGCATGTAATCCCAGCACTTCAGGAGGCCAAAGTGAGAGGACTGCCTGAGCCCGGAGGCTGGTGACCAGCCTGAGCAACATGGTGAGACCTCATCTCTACAATAAATCAAAAAGTTAGCTGGGTATGGTAGCGCACGCCTGTAGTTCCAGCTACTTGGAAGGCTGAGGTGGAAGGATCGCCGGAGCCTAGCCGGTCGATGTTGAGGTGACTGTGAACATGCCACTGCACTCTAGCCTGGGTGACAGAGTGAGACTCCAACTAAAAAAAAAGTTAAATCTAAGTTTAAATGGATCACTCTCTATGAAATTTAGACTCTATCAACTATGCTACTTTTTCTTTTTTTTGAGAGAGAGTGTCTGTCTCTGTTGCCCAGGCTGGAGCTCACTACAGCCTCAAACTTCTGAGTTCAGGTGATCCTCCCACCTCAGCTTCCCAAGTAGCTGGGACTACAGGCATGAGTCTCCATACCTCATTTTTAATTTCTTATACAGTCATGATCTTTCTGTGTTGCCCAGGCTGGTATTGAACTCCTAGTCTCAAGTAATCCTCCTGCCTCAGACTGCCAAAGTGCTAGATTTACAGGCATGAGCCACCATGCCCAAACCCTCAGCTGTATTATTATTATTATTACTATTATTATTGCTATTATTATTTTGAGTCAGAGTCTCACTCCATTGCCCAGACTAGAGTGCAGTGGCATGCTCATGGCCACTCCAGCAGTGATCCGCTGGGCTCTGGCGCCAAGTAGGTGGAACTATAGATGCATGCTACCATGCCCAGTCAATTTTTTATTTATTGTAGAGATGAGTTCTCAATAAGTTGTTCGGGTTGGTCTCAAACCCGCAGCCTCAGGCAATCCACTCTCCTCGGCCTCCCAAAGTACTGGGATTACAGGCTGAGCCACCAAGCCTGGCCTCTTTTGCTTTTTACTTTCCCTAGAGATGGGGTCTTGCAGTGCTGCTCAGGCTGAACTCAAACTCCTAGGCTCAAGCAATCCTCCTGCTTCAGCCTCCTGAGCAGCTGGGACTACAAGTATGAGCCAGAGAGTTGACTCGTGAAAGTCAACTCTACCCTTACCATCTGGAATACAGAGCCAGCATGTTGCCACAGGTGGAAGTGCCTGGAAGGAAACAGGGACCAGAGGAACAGCAGGACGAGGGGCTGGAGACAAGACTGGGGCCTGCACTGTGGCCAGAAGACACACTCCACCCCACTCACACTCCCCTCGTCTCAGGCTCACCTCCGGACACGCTCCACTCTGCTCACGTTCAGCTCTGGACACGTTCTCTTCTGGTCAGGGTCACCTGTGGACATGCTAACCTCTGCTCAGGCTCACCTGTGAACACACTTCCCTCTGCTCACACTCCCCTCTGGACACACTCCCCTCCCCTCAAGCTCACCTCTGGACATGCTCATCTCTGCTCACATTCAGCTCTGGACATGCTCACCTCTGCTCACGGCCCCCTCTGGACACACACCCCTCCGGCCACATGTCTGCTCTCCCTCAGACCTGTGACCCAATCTTCCCTTCCCCACTGCACGCCCCACACAGGCAGCAACTCCGGAGGAATCAATGATGCAGATCTTCAGGGGAGGTAGAGATATCACCCTCTGCCTACTCGGATTCCCAGCAGCGCACTGAGCTCTACATTCAGCGCGTGGCTGTGGGGCCCATACCCTGCACTCACTCAACCGGAGGCCAGATCCACTTCTCCCTATGGAGGAAGGAGACGACCACATGGAGTCCTCGGAGAGGTGGCAGGGACCCACAGATGGCATGTCCTTTTCTCTCTCTCTCTCCCTTCTGTCTCTTCTCTTCTCTCTCTCTCTCCTGTCTCTCTCTCTTCCCTCCCTCCTTTCCTCCTCCCCATCTCCTGTATCTTTCTCTCCTATCTCTCTCTTCTCTACCTCTTCTCTCTCCTGTCTCTCTCTCTCTCTCTCTGCCAGGAATCATAGCTCTGGGAGATAGTGTCCCTGTGGGATGGAACGCCTGTTTCTATCTGGGTCCCAGATGGAACACCAGCCAATTCTGGGCCTCATCCAAACTGCAGAGTTGGGTCTGGACCACACTGCTGTTTATTTAGGTGTCTTTTTGTTTGGCTTGTATGTGAATCCTCTGACAAGACTGGGGGATTTTACACAGACACCAAGATTCCTGGATCCTTTAACTAAAAGGCTGGCAACATGGTCCGTACACTATATGGAGCTAAACTCATCCGCCCCACCCCCCATGCTCCCTGCCTCTGGAGGCCCAGAACCAGTCCCTGACCACTGAATCTGTTGCCGGTTCCCTGATGAGTCAGATGAGGCTTTTCCTGTAGCCACAGCTACCAGCGTGGGGACGCAGCAGGGAGACTAGGGGAGTGAGTTTAGGGGACTGGCAGAGAGGCCTCTGCATAGAAAGCGGATGTCCAATCAATCATGTCTGCATCTCAGGAACACCATCCCACAGGGACACCATCTCCCGGAGCTATGATTCCTGGCAGAGGGAGAGAGAGAGAGAGAGAGAGAGAGAGAGAGAGAGAGAGAGAGAGAGAGAGAGAGAGAGGTGCCATTCTGAAATAAACCACTTCATAGATTCCCTTCACCTGCCGGGTTCCCAGAGGCAGCTCAGGCTGGCACAGTGATGTGTTGCCTGGCCCAGAACAGAGCCTTAGCATGATGTCCTGAAGGTCATGATCCATTCATGAGCCATGAACTCATGTTAGTAGATCACCATCAGCCTTTCTTTTCCTTTCTCTCTTGCTTCTTTCTTTTTTTTAATAGCATAGCAAAGAGAATACACAGAAAACAGTAAAAATAAGTATTATACAAACCTTTTGTTTTCAGTTTTATATATATACACACACCTAATCATGATCTAGAAAGCATTTTTATTTTACTTTTTAGGAACAGGGTCTTGCTCTGTGTGATCTAGAATGCATTTTTGTTTTACTTTTTAGGGACAGGGTCTTGCTCTGTGGCCCAGGCTGGAGTGCAGTGGCATGATCACAGCTCACACAGCCTCAAACACCCTCTTAAGTACCTGGGATTCCAGAAGTGCCACTACATCTGGCTGATTTTATTTTTATTTGTGGCAGAGATGAGAGGTCACTTTGGTGCTCATACTGGTGTCAAACTCCTGGCCTTCAGTGGGCCTGTCACCTTGGCCTCCAAAGTGCTGAAATTACAAGTGTGAACCACAGCACCCAGCCCTGAGTGTATTTTTAAATTACTAGTGAGGTTAAAAACAAATAACCAGGCCAGGTGTGGTGGCTCACACCTATGATCCCAGAACTTTGGGAGGCCAAGGTGAGAGGACTGCCTGAGTCCACAGGTTTGAGATCAGCCTGAGCAACTTGGTGAAATCACATCTCTACATTTAAAACAATTTTTTTTTTAATTAGCTGGGTGCGATGGCACGTGTCTGTAGTTCCAGCTACTTGGAAGGATCACCTGAGTCCAGCAGGCTGAGGCTGTGGTGGTCATGAGTGTACCACTACACTCCAGCCTGGGTGACAGAGTAAGACTCCAACTCAAAAAAAAAAAAAAAAAAAAAACAAGTAAGCAAGCAAACAAGAACCTAAAACACAGCGGTCAACCACTGTCCTCAGGGCAGGTAACCAGAGAAAGATTGAGGGCTGACATGCAGGGTCAGAGGCAAGAATTGTGAGGTTGGGGTCATTTCTTCCTCACAGACACTTCTTTCTGAACTTCCAGGGAAACTGAGATCGTTGATGAGGCCTCTGGGACCTGTCCCAAGCCCCCCAGCAGTGTCTGCAGAGCTGGGGTCAGCGCAGTCCTGGGCTTCTGCTCAGCACTGCACCTAGGGCCTGTGCCTCACTCCCAGAAGTGGCTCTTAGAAGGCTTGGGAACCGGGCCATGGCCTGGCCCTGACTGTGATGCCAGAAAGACCACCTTGCGAGACAGAGAACTTGCAACACTCTTCAAAGACTGTCATGGCTGTTAACACAATCTCAGTTGAGCTCTGGAAAAGA